GGAGCTCGAGAAAGCATACAAGCATACAACCGCCTTCCTCACCAGCTACTGTGGTATGCGTTTCGTGAAGATGAAGGGCCAACAATACTTATCCAATAGTTCCGTACGCTATAAGAAATACCACCAATCGGAACAGATGTGCTGCTGCTCTCCTTGAGAGTTTCGAGTACTTTGGTTTTCAAGAATTATCGCTCACTCCGCTGCTATTCCTATTCTCGTGACGAACACGCCCACGTGAAATTTGCAAAACGAAGCGAATCCGCTGTATACTATCGACATTCTTTTCGCGACTATCAAAAGGGAGAAACTAAAGCAAGGCTCAGACACGTTCACATAAAAAAGACCGGATACTTGCCGAAATTTGGCATTCGTTTGCCCAGATCATTCCCCACTGTCCCCTTCCTCGATCTCATGAATATCCTAGATACCAATTTCTCGATTCCCTTCTCAAAAGCAAGCACGACCCACTTTCAAAAATCGTGGTTCACCTGTGCGTCCGAATTTCTTGGTGAACCTTTGCGTTCGGTAATCTCCGACTTATAGATGGTACTTCTTGCAAACAGCGTAAATTTACCAGGATTACTTTTGTTTGCCATAGCATGAGTACCGTGATTTGAATAGTAAAGGACTCACCCAGACTACAGCCATGTGATGTTGTCCGTCGTGATTAATGAGGAACAGCGTTGGAGCGGCAATCAGAGCCCCTATTCCGCAGATTATTGCGTCCGAACTTTCAGTTTTCAGGCGAATAAATGGTCCATAACCCGTACGCAAGAGCTGAAATTTACAGGTGCATCATGCCCACTTGCGCTCCTATGACTTAAGAACTACTGGTGTTTGGTCTCGTCGTGCAGGGGCTACTGAGCATCACGAACTATCACGTACCTAGTCAAACCAACAAGCCTAGAAGATTTTACCAAACTTTTGTGATCCATTTACTTCGAACGAGATCAATATGGAGGAAATTGGTTCCGCAAAGAGCTAGATCGCAAGTGTAGCGTGTGTCTCATAGCTCTACCCACTACTGGTCAAAACTGCGCGACTGTTTTTCAATCACACACAGCACCGAGTGACCACTGACTACGCAGCCACAAACAATGTCCAAGGCGTTCCATGTAAGAAAATATACATGACTGATCCGGATAACCGGAAAGCCACCATGGTGAATGGTGATTCAGCCATCTACTCAGCGCAAAGACCGTGGACCGCCCTCAGTCAGTACCCTTAAGCAAAGCCCTTGCTGAATTTAGCCGGGCTCCCCTCTAAAGTAAAGCCGCTCATGAGCTTGAACAAATACAGAGCTTGCCCGCTTGAGCAATGTTTGGAACTTTGAGAAAATGACGGAACTTGCATAACGCTCTGTTGGAGTTTGACGGTGGCACTTCGCTGAGCGAAAGGCTAGTTTATTGTATTGACACTTTTGTCAAAACTCTGGAAAGATTCAAGCGCTACCTGTCGGAATGCAAGGTACCCACTCCGTGGAAAACCAGCAGGACCGTGTTGCTGTACAAGAAGGGAGACTTGGACGACATTGGCAACTATCGCCCAATCTGCCTGCTGTCTGTAATCTACAAGCTATTCACTCGAGTCATCCTTAACAGGATCGGCAGAATACTAGATGAAGGACAGCCATGCGAGCAAGCAGGGTTTCGAAGAGGGTTCAGCACGATCGACCATATCCACACGGTTACAAGACTCATTGAAGTTTCACGAGAGTACAAGATGCCGCTTTGTCTCACGTTCATCGACTTGAAGAAGGCCTTCGACTCTGTGGAGACAGAAGCGGTCATCGAAGCCTTGGGCAACCAGGGCTCCTACTCAGTACATAAAGATTCTTGGTTTGGAGCTATTGCTAGCTGATTTCGACTGTGGTAAGGTCGTCTTGGAGCTGAATCTACATATGAGACCATGTTTATGAGAAACAGCGTGGTTCTCGATGCCCCGTTCACGCTCAGTATAACGAAGATCTCCTAGTGCCTAGCTGCGTAAACCTATGTCAGAGATTTATATTATATGATGGACTACCTAGCTCAGAAAAAAAACCGAGCAGGGAAAACGGCATGGAGAGTGTACAAAAACATCGGGGCAGTAGTGAAGAAGAACAACAACATCCGGCCTCGTGCCCACTTCTTCGAATCTGTAGTCATACCTGCGATTTAGTCGTGCGTTGGACCAGCAGTTACCAAAAGGATCCCTCGGGACGTCAAACGAACACCTGGACGACCGCCGGCCCGATGGTCAGACTTCTTCACGAAAGCTCTGAACGAAAGGAATGAAGGACTTCGTGTCCCTCGAGCGAGGAGGGTCCACTGGACAACTCTTGCACGCGACAGGGACGAATGGAGACGTTGCTGGCGCCCGCTCGAGCAATTCGATGATCAACGGGACGACGGGGGAGGTGAAACAGGTGATCCTCCTCTTGATGAATGCATGAATACTCCGAGTATTGTAGCTCTTTGTCATTCACTCTTCAGGACCCAAGCGTGTAGACAAGCCTTCAAAGCGTGGGGTATGTTTCAAGCTGGTTGGTTGAGAGGAAATTGAGAACCTCTCGGCGATGCCGCAATTCTGGAGTCCATCACTGACCAGTTTGCCGATGATTGAGTGGTGCTGAAGCCTTCATACAGAGAGAAAGAACTTGGATTAGCAACAGATTACTGATGAAGGGAGCTCCTACTGCTTTTAGCTTGAAACTGTGAATAGTTCTGAAACACTTCCAAAATAACATTTGGCACACTGCCAACAAAGCTCAAGGTGGCGTCCTATACTTTTCAGCCACCGAGCATATTCAGTCGCAGTGCAGAAACGAATCTTCGTTACAAGTATACGGGATATGTACGCCTAGAAGTCGCGTTTTTATGGCGCAATGAAATTCCAAAATAGAGCCGAACTTCGAAATGTACTTACACTTGCGAGAGTTGATCCAATACCGACACCGAGTATGCCGCCAATGCAAGAAATGGTACCAAAAATTAGGTTAATTCTAAAAACGAATAATGATTGTGATAGGACAGAGTTAGTTCTCATGCTAAAGTTGTTAGATTAAGAAGCGATCGCTACTACATGAAAGATTTTTCATGGAGGCCGCCAAAGAGAAGTGCATGCACTATGGTTTTTGCGACCTTCATCAAGCTTGTACAACATGACAAGCACATATTTTCATTCATACGAGTTATAGTTCAGGCTCCGTGCTCCACAAGGTTTTCAAAAATCAAACGACATATGAGCTATAGTGCTGCATGGTATCATCACTTGCGCTACGTCTTCCACGCAAAAGCAGCATTGCGTAAAAAACTCACTGCGCCTTTATGTCAGGATCGAGTTCATCAGTGCTGCTAAGCCCACGTTTGCTGGCGTAGCTGTGTTCCATGGCCGTTGGAGCCCACCAAGCAAGAGTCCCAACAACGAAAACAAGAGCCGTGTAACCAGCCGTCGAAAAGATAAATGTGAGACTGCAATAATACTCACGTCCCAGACCCCTTTACTTTGCCTCAATATCAATTTGTAACACAATGGTGGGTATGAAGTTATGTGTGACATAATGTTGGGTATGAAACGCTAAAAGAAGAATGAAAAGGAGGAACGAAGGCAAAAAGAAGAAGAAGAACGAAGAAGACGAATAGTGCCACGCAAAAACGCAAGCTTACTTTGTAGCCAGGCTTCCGAGATCATTAACGTAACTGCTGGCGACCAATGCAACGACATTTCTGCCTTCTCGCTCGACCCCACCTCTTTCTGGTTCTTGGATGAAGAAAATAATCGCCAGTAGACAAACGACACCTAAAAAATTTTTTCGTTAACTGAGCAAAGTAGCAAAGTACACGTTCTCAGCAGAAAGGGAGTTCAATCGAAGGACAACCAATTGCAACGATGCTTGTGTTTCACCATGTCTGAGAGGGCAGATCGTCAAGTAAAATAGAAGAAAAAACTGATTGAACGACTTACAAGAATGCTGGGTTGTGAACAAAACTTTCGCCCCAGACGGGACTAGAACCCGCACCTCTCGCTTTCCGGGCAAGTGCGCTACCAGTTACGCTACCGGGGCACCATTTCATTCCCAACTCATGGTATACGTACCATAGCTTTCAGCACTCACACGTATAACGTGTTGAGCCGGTTAGCCGATATCGGCAATGACCGCGAGGCTGAAAGCTTTAGCACTTGATTTTGACTTATTAGATCCATTCAATCAGTGTTGACTTGTTCAAAACAAGCCTAAATTGATTGAATGGATCTACACTGTTGGCTAGGATCCTACATATATACTATCACAATCATTTACTGAAGGAGAATTGCTTTGAAATAAATAAGGTATATCGAAAAATGACATTTTTTCTTCTGCGAATCAAAGAAAATTAAATTCCAAATAAAATATTCCCCCGATATGATTTTCATAATTATATGAAAGATATCATCTACTTATGAAGAAATTAGTTTTCCCTTTCGTGCTATTTTTGTGAGAATGGTGGCAAGTTTTGTAACGGAAGGTCAATTTAATCTACGAAAAATGCATAAAAACTGCAACTACTTTAACTTAATCTTATTTAATCAGGAAAAATGAATGCAAGCCTATGGCCCAGGGAGTGAATTTTTAACATTTCGCACTAATGTCGTGTATTTCCGACCGTTGTATTGTTCTTGTTTCTCTATAAGTGGTATCCCGCAAAATCGACGACTGCGACCATCTCGCCGGCCGAATCCATCAAGCACTTCGGGAGACCGCGGACACCTGTTCTCAGTCACGTGAACGCCGCCGGCTTTCCGGTTGAAATTTTTAGTGATATATCTACAATCAGAGAGCCCCATCTAGATGCAGAAGAAATTTATCGGATAATTGGAAAGCAAGAATGAACGATAAGAGAGCTAATAATTGTGATCTACGAAATGCAGCGAAAGGCTCCTATGCAGGTCGCAGGACCTGCAGCCAATAAGGGTGCGTGGTCCAAGTGGTTAAATATTTTCACGAGATATGAAATGGTGCGAAATGCAAATAGTTGAAAGTACGATTAAATTAAAGGAATCTTGCGCGGAAAAATCATGATTCTATTTCAGCCATAAATCACTGGCTTGAGACTCATTATCCACGATAATAGTGAAAAGAACTGAAGTATTGCTTTCGTTTTGATTAGAAATTCGAAAACTCGAAAAGGCTGCTACGCGTTCGAATTGCCCACGGACGTCTTTCACGAATGCTGGCGACGGGGATGCTCAAACTTGGTTCTTGGAGTGCATTCACTAGAAGCTCTTTCTGGCCTTCTGCTTCGTTGCATTCACATCTTACACTTCTACTCCATCCTATTCCATCGATCGATTTGTCTCCACTCTCCGAAATCGCGCGCTTTAACCCGATTCTCTCATTGCGTCGCCTGGTACGTAGCCGGCCAAACGCCGTCTTCTTTCCATGCCTCGCCTGGCTCTGCCTCCTGGTCCTTCGATGGTCCATAACGTGTAGTTTTTGTACGTTTGTTTCTCTTCAGAAACCGAATCTTCATGCGTGAAACTTTGTGTGCTATTTCCAGTGATCACAACTGACATATTCATGTTAGGAAAGAGTGCAAGAATTTTCCGCGCAAGATTCCTTTAAAGAAAGTCGATTGACTAACCTAGTACTGCGGTTACACGAATGCCCCACTTCCAGTCGCCAGTGAGCGCAGACAGGTAAGAACCGATAATGAAGCCCAGGCCACTGAAGAAAGATAATTTTATTTTGTAACTGCCAACAAAGCTTCCTCGAGACACTTTACACCAGCGACATGGAGTCACGCTCCGAAAAGAAAATTCAGGTAAAAAGTGCTCAGCTACTGCGGTGATAGGAAAGGACCGCGGAGAATTGCGTGCGGTCATTATTTTTGCAGAATATTGAGTTTACTGCGAAAAAGGTAAGGATTGCTAGTAACAGATACATCGCCCATGTCAAATTAAAGCCTGGCGAAGTGCGAAACCACGGACTCAGGCTTACGCTAATGGCCAGCCTTGCAAAAACGTCTCGCGAAATCAAAGCAATTCTTGTAACTACAAACTTCTTCATTTCTTCACTGTGCAAGGTTCCCTCAACTGGTTATGGAATGCACCTTCAAAGACAGTGGGAATGGTACAGGATTAACCGCCATGTTGTACCAATTCCAAGCATTATGCGACCTCTCCCCCTCTTGGAGAGTCTCGATACGACCCCCCCCCAACACTTATTATGTACTGTACATTGCCAACCAAAAGCTAACATGACGGAAAATAAGTGCAATCTACAAAAAATCACAAGACCCTTAGCGTGAATTCGAACAAGCAGCAGAGCATGAGCTCCAGTAGTTCACTGATAAGCACGAAATCGCAATTGAAGCCTCATTAGTTGCTAAATAGAACGAGTGCATGGCGCATCTAGAGCACGAGACTACTGCAGAAATGTGCGAATTGAGCACGGGAGCGTTGGGTTCGCATAGGTGCGCGCAATCTTCCCCTCGGCCCATGCTTGCGGTCCAGAAGAGGCAATTGTATTTTCAAACGTGTGTAATTCCCTTCACTATCATATTTTTTAGAATCCTGAGTCGATTTGTAATCTGCGAGGCTGCCGGTTCCAGAAAACTGTCAGGATCCCAGATTCACGAGAGGCGGCGAGTGTTGCCATGGTGCAGCGTAGCTTCGACCTCGTCAGTTGTGGCGGGTAGAGATTCATAATTCACAGAAATCCAAATTTTGCCCTTAGAAATGGTTGTAGCTCTCAACGTAGAATGTGTGAGAAGCCAGTAAAAAATTTAAACCTGGTTTTGTTTTTTTCCAAAGACTTCTATCTAACTTTGTGTAAAGGAATTTCATACCTTCTAGACAATACCATTTACCGTTTTTTTGTGCACAACCACGTTGGCTGAAATTCTCATCCCCTTGGAAAAAAAACCAAGAGGTTAAAGCTTTCAAATGAATTCTTGAACTCAACCACGAATTTCAAAATTGATGGAGTCGAAAATTGTCTCGTTGGACTCGGTTTTGGAGCGTTTCGACGTCTTCATCAGATGGCCAGTATTTTTGAGCTTTGAACTGGTGAGAGTAAAATTTATTCGCGAGGTTTGAATTTTTGGTGCAGAATTATGCCTGAGAGAAATTAGGAATAGTCTAGAGCCTGCTAATGGAATATGATCTAATTTCAAATAAGGACCGGGTTTAAAGTGTCCCTTGTTGGACGCAGATCCTTGCTTTGTTATGAGAATTTCGGGAGTACTTCCTTGAAAACATGAATTCCAACTCAACACTCAACAGTCCTTCCAACTCAATTCTCGGGAATAATGATATGATATGACATCAGCACTAGCTTTGTGCTTCTAACGATGTCTCCAGGAAGCTGTGAGCCTGAGCCGAGAGCCTCATTCGGAACCTGTATAACATCTCCTCATTCTACGCATTGCGACGTTGACTTCTGCGAATACATCCCCACGTTGGACTTGGTTCAACGGACGGTTGACCCTGGTACGATATAGTGGGTACGCACTATGGAAGTACGTGGGTCATTAGAAGCGGTAACAAGAGAACTGGTGTGTATTTTGGTGCGCGAAAGGTTGCGCTAGCTGCAGCGCAGTCAAGCACCAAATTTAAAACCGCATAGGCAAAATTGCCGCATCCATGAGAGGGCATCGCGAAACCGCTATGGTTATCGTTCACTTCAAACGTGAAAGTGCATTAGTAACGAAACGGAGTACTTTGTAGTCTTGTCGTGCTGTGTAATCCGTCTGATATCCCTATCCAAGCAGCTATTCATAAGTCAAAGCTGGTGTGATCAAGTGAGGTTTTCATCTCCCGAGTTTTCTTTGGATTTTTTTGCTTCTTTCACTACCATATAGCGCCCTCACTTCAGTTTTGAATTAAACTAGAGCTATCGTAATCAGTACCCTTAACGATATGAAACTCGCCTCTCACCTTCCACAAGGAATCGCAAAATAGAATAGCATCAGCATTCGACTTCTATTCTCTCCACTGCACATGTCGGCTATTACCGATGGAGAAGTGATAACGTAAGAAGCTTCTCCGACGCCAACTATTCCTCTGAGCAACAAAAACAGCCAGAACATCTTAAGCAGAAGTACCACTCATTGCACAGACGAGACAGAGAACAATGAATGCTAGGAAAGAGGGATGTCGTAATACTCAAGAAATCGAAAGAAAGCTCAAACCAACATTTTTAGGAACGTAGGTGGAGGCAAACACGGCTAGTACCCACACTGCTATCCCGATTGTCATAACCCATTTTCTGATATACCTGTATTCAGAACGTATAAGTTTAGATTATTTATAAGATCATTTTGAAGTGAACGTTGACCCAACTTTACCTATCGCCTAGGAAACCACAAACTGGGCAACATATCATGTAAAAAAGCATGAAGATGCTCTGCAAGAGACCCCCTTTTGCGTCATTGATGTCATAATAATCCTGTATACTCGTTAGTACACCTGAAACTCAAAATTGAAAAATAATGACACAAAAAGACACCACGAAATGTGACAAAAACTTGCCCGCAATTGTGTACCTATCCATATAGTTGAGAAGATTGATGCAAAATAAAATACTCATACTTAAATGGACCTTCGAAATCTGGAACGGGATCTTCGAAAAAAATTTCATCAACAATAAAACATCAGGCCTTTATAACAGCTTTATGTGTGTGCAGCGCCTAATTGCTTCATTATTTCATTATCGGGATGGATGAAGATTGAAGGAACTTCTATTCTCATCCACTACAAGAATGTGGTTGAGCGATTGAGCGAAAGATAGGGGAACCAGTGGAAATAAGGAGTAGAGTTTAACAATTAGAGTTTTAGAAATATAGGGAGGGCTGCGTGGAAAAAAGAGGGCATGACTTTCGACTATAAGAAGATCATTCCCTATTCCCAGCACATCAAAAGCCCACGTAGCATTTCCCCTCATTTTTCCGTTGTCGATCTCCTTGTTCTCCTCGGTGCTCCTTTTCATTGCCATTTACATCGCAAAGGGGGGGGGGGGTTACAAAAGCTGAATGGCCAGCATCAGCAGCAAGCTTAAACGTCGAGCCGTTTCGAAGATGTATCTCACTGGTTAGACCGTTGGGGTGAGTTGTCTACTCGTATCGATCAAATTAGGGATAACGTTCGCATAATTCATGAGGAATTCTTCACCTCACCTTCGAGAAAGGTTCAGCAACTTTTCGCTCCGATGCTTGATGTACACGTTCTTGTGTCTCTGAGTTTGGTTTACCAACCTTCAAAGCTGTATCGTGCTGTGTAGCTTCCATGCTATTCTCGGTACCTTCCATGTTATCTGCAAAGGTCTCCTTACTAAAATTCACAAAGAAGTGTTCACATGCAAATGGTTTTTGCGATTTTGCAAGAATATGCAATACTGCTACTAATTTTTGTTCAATCGACGATTTGCGACGGTCGGTCCGTCGCAAACCGTCGGCTCGCCATAACTCTTGAAGAAATGGTTCGCGCGATTTGAAAATTATACCATCTGATAGCTCTGCTCACGGCAAATTCAACCGTGCGTAGAAGTTCTGATTTCCTGCACATCTGGGATTGCGCCACTTTGGATTGTATTTCCTGATAGCTCGCGTGACGGCCAGTGGCCTTCCACCGTAGTTGGCAGCAGCCCATTCACTCGACTTTCATACCGTGATGTAATTGTTTGTATGTGATGCGCATATAAGTCCTCCTATGCAGCCTGATCATCCCACAGAAACATGGATCTCAACACCCTCAGAATACGCCACGTACCCAACCGGTCCACCATATGGTGAGATTGAATGAATGTTTTTTTCGAATTTCAGAATCTTTATTTCGTTTTCAAGCGCTAATTAGCTGAACGTGTTGTGAATGCGCTCAATATCCCATTCTCTCTATTTCAAATAAAAATCTTTGTCAGTGTTGTTATTCCGTGCCATACAGGTCGTTATGGT